CATTTCTCCTAGAGTAAAGTTATAGTTGGCATATGTTCTGCCTTCCAAGATTTTCCAGGTGATAGTTTATGAAGTGTCTTTCAATAGTATAATATGGGCCATCAGCTTTCCATCCTCCAATGCCTGAGTCTTTCTTGCTTATAGACTGATGAAATCAACATTAGATAATTTAGATTTTCTCATGGGTAGCAATTTATTTTCAAATTCTATATTGGTTAAAATTAGGTTTGTGTGCCAAGCATGGTGGTGCATGCCTGTAATTCTAGCTACTTGGGAGGCTGAGGTAGGAAGATCACAAGTTCAAAGCCAGCCAGCCTCAGTAACTTTGTGAGGCCCTAAGCAACTTGTTGAGAACTTGTCTCAAAATTAAATAATAATAATAATAATAAAGGCTGGGAATGTGACTCAATGGTTAAGACCCTCTGGGTTTAATTCCTGGTACTAAAAAAACTATTAGGTTTGTGTTTGTGCAATGAAAATCCAGTTAGCATTGATGTACCATAACTATTTTCTGCTTTATCATTAACTCCTAGAAATCAGTAATTCAGAACCATTATTTCTATTCTGCTCTATGAGGTCACACAGGAATGATCTGGACACTCTGGATCATCCACCTTGTTGCTTCACTATCCCTAACTTGTTTCCCTCATTTGCATCATCTAAGATGGCTGCCTACAACATCCACATTATAAGAAGCCACATGGAAGTAGATGGGAGGAAGGGGAATCACTCCATTGTTTAAGGACATGTGCTGCCAGAGATTGCATGCCTCACTTTCTCTCACATCTCATTGACTTAGTCATAGGTTCACACTTAACTGCAGTGGAGTCTGGGAAATATAATAATTTTACAGAGTGGTGGATGCCCAACTAAAAATGGAGAATCTGTCACTATGAGATGAGGCAAGTGGGGAAAATGTATTGGGAATATATTGCAATTGCTAAACTCTGATGATAATAGAAAGAAGTAATTGTTAGTATTAAAAAAATACCAAATGGAATAAGAAACACACACACATTTAAACTACACATAACACAAGTGTCAGAATCTTGTCTGAAAAGAATTAATGGTTTTCTACATTGTAGACCCCTGTTGATTCCAGAAGTATAACCTGAAGGAACCTTCTCTGAGGGGAATTATTCTCCTGCAGAATAAACATTAAATGAATAAGCCTATAAATCAGTAAGATAATTTCTGACTGTGCTAAGTAGTATGAAGGAAATAAAGCAATGTAGTATAATACAATGTATGCCTCTCTGTGTCTCAATTGACTCATCTGTATAATGAAGACACACAGGTTTACAATTCCAAAATCCCAAAGCTGAAAGTTGTGTCCTAACTCAGTTGAAAGCAATATGTCATGATCTGAGTTGCTCTCTGGGCCCCAATATGTATCATATATACAGGGTATATGTGTCATGTTACCTTCTGAAATCAGTAAAAATCTGAAATCCAAAACACAAAGGTTTTGGATAAGCGACTGAAAACCATTAGAACCCTCTCATTTGGTTATTGTGAGGATTAAATGAGTTAGTATATATAAAGTACTTAAAATGATACCTGATAAATGCTTTCTAAGTTCACTACTATTACTATCATCATCACTGCTACTACATAGGAGGTTATTTAGATTAGTTGGTCAGGGAATTCTTCTCTGCAGATTGTCACCTGAGCAGACACCTAAGAGGTGGTAATGACCTGGCCATGGGAAGAGAAGGAGAAAGAAAATCTCAAAAAGAGGGAACACCAAGTATCAGGATCGAGAAGGTTACAAGCTTGGCTCCAATGCAGAAATGAAAAGAGGTGGCCAGATGGCTGATATGTGTTGAAAGAGGGGAAAGATGGTTCAAGGTTAGAGAGGTAGGCTGGAAGCAGAATATACACACACTAAGGAATGGAAAAACTTTGGATTTCATTCAGAGTGTAATTAGGAAGTCATTTTAGTTGATTGGATTTGTGTTTATAGAGAATGCTCTGATGCTGATTAATGAATGAATTTTAGAGAAGGGGAAGCAGGGAGATCCATTTAGAGTCTACTGCAGGAGTCCAGGTAAAATTGAATGACTACTTGGATTAGAAAGGTGGGAGTAGATGAGCAAAAAAGTAGACACATGAAGAGAAAATTTAGAAGGTGGTAAAAGTTTTCTAATTACTTTTACACTAGAATTTATAACACCAGTATGTAAAAGCTAAAACTTTCAGTCATTGTCAGGTGTGTTAAACCAAGTGGTATGATGCACTCAGTACATACAGGCTTTACAAGAGCAATTCTATATATCTCTCCCCATCGCACAAGTAGCTTGAAATAGGCCATGGTGAAAATATTTACACCATGGACATTGACACATGCTATGAATCAGGACTTGACAAGTGAGAGCATTTTGCTGGCAGGGGAGAAGGAAGGCCAATCATTAAACATTTATCTGCACACCACTGGTTAAGATGTGACTTTATTTTCTAAAATAATACTTCTTTAGTGCCTCCATTGTAATTGATCACAAAAGTACTTAAACTAGAAACACCCTGGGAAGCTTGGTTGGTAATTACTAGCTCAATTATTTCATGTTTTTAAATCAGTTAATTCAGGTATACTCCCACTTCTACCTAGGGTCTCATATATGTTCATGGGAATGGGTTGGGAAGAGAGCACCTGTTTCATGATTGTCCTTTATTCATGTTGGGCCCCTCTGGAATAGAGCGTGCCTCCCTGGACCACAATATCACTCTTAGCAGCAGTATCTATTGCCTTCAGATAGTATGATCCAAGCACCCATCATGCTTTTTAAAGAAGCATAGCCAGGGTAGGGGTCCAAGGCCTGGGAGCCTATAATCAAGGCCCATGCATAACATTCACTCTACTTCTCTCCTTTCTCTCTTCTAAAATATTTCCTCCTATCTTGACTCATCCTCTCCTCCCTGAGTAGTGAACACTTTCCCTGTATGTTTGAGTAATTGTGATGCTCTAGGAAGATGTGCCATATTTATCTAAGGTCTTCTTGTATCCCCTGGCCCATTACCATATATTCCCAGGTATCTATCTGCATGTTAGAGTAACATAGCCTTAAATAATTCTGGTGGATGAAGAAGGTAGGAAAGAGTATGGCAAGTAGGGGGACTTGAAAGTCAGTGAACTTGGGTTTAGCAATGAGAAAAGCTGGTACAGGAGTTATATCAGGTAGACCTAGACAAGAAGGCAAGGGGAAAAGTTATGGAAGACTTAGAATCCATGATAAAAATTTGAGCTCATGCTATAAAACGTGAGAATAAAACAGATAAAGAAAATCATTTTAAAGACTACACAGCAAGACAATCACTGATTCATGTTTGGGAATCTGGATGGATAATGTGGATTGGAAGAGTGAGGGCACAGGGACTAGGCTTTGGAGTAGAACAAGGCCCAGCTGGTGTTGTGCCAGCTAAAATGGGAAAGCAAGGAGGGTGTTGAGAAGTGTAATGGAGGAGGTCAGCTGTAATTGATGAATGGTTTTAGTGATGTGGAAGAGAGGACAGGGTTGTGAAAGGTAAATAGGACAATTTTGTTCCCTTAACTTCAATGCACTTGTGGGTTGCATGTAAAGATGGGTTCAAAAGCCATTTTGAGATCCTTCTGAGCTATATTGCATCAGAGAGTAAGAAAGCTGGGGTAAATTTTGCTTATTTACCTCCTTTTAGTGGAATTAAGGGAAGTAGGAATTTGATTTATTAGATATCAACATGATTGATTGTCTATTGGGAGTGCAAAATCATTAGTTGAGCCAGAGCCTACTGTAGAAACATAGTCTGGATTGTTCCATGTATAATTACTAGTAAAACTAATACCAGCATTTCAAAGTAAAATACTGATAGAAATCCTGAAATATGACAACAAGTTCATGTTTGAACCTCCTTCTAAGGCAGGGCCACTTGAAATTCATATGCTGATCAGCGAAGTTCTTCAGTGCTCCTCATCTTGCCATTTAAGGCTCATTTTTCCAGGGTTGCAGTGTCTTTCCTGCTAAATCTAAATGCCCAAGAATCATCTTTCAGGGTAGATTCCTGTGTGTCCCATTTTGCCCATTTTGCCATTTTTTGGTTATTCTTATAATCTCAGCTTAATCCTTTATGACTGATCCCCTTATCCCCTGTAAGTATCCACTTGATCAATTATATTACTCTAATTATGGATCAACCAGGTATATTTATGTAATGTAAACCTAATGGATTGGGAAAAACATTCATCCTCAAATCATTTTGGAGGTGATTTCTGGAATTATTTCCAAAAACAATCCATGAAAAGAACCAGTTTATAGAATGGCAGTAAGGCAGTGCCAAAATGGCAGGAGTGTATTTGATAATCAAATGCCAAAGTGGGTGACCTTGGGAAAACTAGTTAATATTACTAATCTGTGCCTTAATTTGTAATATAGGAAAAATGGATCTCTTATATTTTCTTATTTAGAATATTATGAGGTTTGAATATTATGAAAGTCTCTTGAAATGTGTACCAGGGCATGGTGAGCAAGTAAACATTAATTGTACTTAAGTCCTTTTATTTTTCCCGTGCTAGGGATGGAACCCGGGGCCTCCCACATACTAGGCAAATATTCTACCACTGAGCTACATCCCTAGCCTGTACTAAAATCTTAATGTGTGGTTCTTTTCAGATGCATATGCATTTTTCACATTCCTTGACCCCCCAAATTTAAGACTTCGATAGCTAATTGTTGACTCTTTCTTGTTGTGGTATTCTATTTAACAACAAATCAGAAAAGTCTACTTTTGCACAATAAGATATTTTGCTAGAAAATTAAGGTGCCAAAAACTGAATATGTGACCAAATTATGGAAAACCTCAGTGATTGACAAATACAGTCCCAAGGTATGCTATTTAGATAGCTAAGAACAAGATCTAAATTGTTTATTTTTACAGTGTAGCAAAAGAGAGGTAACGAATTGGGACTTCCAAATTCTGATCATTAGCATATTTTAGAACAATGGTTTGTTCTTTTTTTATATTTTCAGGTGTTTCCAATGTGGACATTGAAGAGACAATTTCTTATCCTTTTAAACATGATCCTAATTTCCAAACTCCTTGGGGATAGATGGTTTCCAAAAACTTTGCCCTGTGATGTCACTTTGGACGTTCCAAAGAACCAAGTGACTGTGGACTGCACAGACAAGCATTTGACAGAAATTCCTGAAGGTATCCCTGCCAACACCACCAACCTCACCCTCACCATTAATCACATCGCCAGCATCTCCCAAGACTCCTTCCATAGGCTGGACCATCTGATAGAGATTGATTTCAGATGCAATTGCATACCTCCTCGAATGGGACCAAAAAACAATGTGTGTACCAGGAGGCTGCAGATTAAACCTAAAAGCTTTAATAAACTCACTTATTTAAAATCCCTTTACCTGGATGGAAACCAGCTTCTAGAGATACCTCAGGATCTTCCTCCCAGCTTACAGCTTCTGAGTCTTGAGGCCAACAACATCTTTTCCATCATGAAAGAGAATTTAACAGAACTTGCCAGCATAGAAATGCTCTACCTGGGCCAAAACTGTTATTATCGCAATCCTTGTAATGTTTCATTTTCAATTGAGAAAGATGCCTTCCTAAACCTGACAAATTTAAAAGTGCTCTCCCTGAAAGATAACAACATCACAGCTGTCCCCACTGTTTTGCCATCTAATTTAATAGAACTGTATCTTTACAACAACATCATTACAGAAATCAAAAAAGATGATTTTAGTAACCTCCACCAATTGCAAATTCTTGATCTAAGTGGAAATTGCCCTCGTTGTTATAATGTCCCATTTCCTTGCACACCCTGTGAAAATAATTCCCCCCTAAAGATCCATGATAATGCTTTTGATGCATTAACAGAATTAGAAGTTTTACATCTACACAGTAACTCTCTTCAGAATGTGCCCCCAGCATGGTTTCAAAAAATGAAGAAACTTAAAGAACTAGATCTTTCCCAAAACTTCTTGGCCAAAGAAATTGGGGATGCCAAATTTTTGCGTTCTCTCCCCAACCTCATCCAACTGGATCTGTCTTTCAATTATGAACTTCAGGTCTATCAGGCATTTATAAATCTATCAGATGCATTTTCTTCTCTGAAAAAACTAAAGATTCTGCGGATCCAAGGATATGTCTTCAAAGAGCTGACAAGCAGAAATCTCTCTCCATTACGTGATCTTCGTCATCTTGAAGTTCTTGATCTTGGCACTAACTTTATAAAAATCGCTAATCTTAGCATATTTAAACAGTTCGAAGGATTGAAAGTCATAGACCTTTCAATGAATAAAATATCACCTTCAGGAGAAGTTGGCTTCTGCTCTAACTCCAGAAGTTTTGCAGAAAGTCCTTGGCCCCAGGTACTTGAAACATTCCATTATTTCAAATATGATGAGTCTGCAAGGAGTTGCAGGTTCAAAAACAGAGAGGCTCCTTCTTTCTTGCCTTTTAATGAGGATTGCCACATGTATGGGCAGACCTTGGACCTGAGTAGAAATAGTATATTTTTTATCAAGTCTTCTGATTTTAAGCATCTTTCTTTTCTCAAATGCCTTAACTTGTCAGGAAATAACATTGGCCAAACTCTTAATGGCAGTGAATTCCAGCCATTAGTCGAACTAAAATATTTAGACTTCTCTAACAATCGACTTGATTTACTCTATTCAACTGCATTTGAGGAACTTCACAAACTGGAAGTTCTGGACTTAAGTAGCAACAGCCATTATTTTCAATCAGAAGGAATTACTCACATGCTTAACTTTACCAAGAACCTAAAGCTTCTGAAGAGATTGATGATGAATAACAATGGCATCTCTACCTCCACTAGTAGGATCATGGAAAGTGAATCTCTTCAAATTCTGGAATTCAGAGGAAACCACCTGGATGTTTTATGGCTAGATGGTGATAATAGATACTTACAATTCTTCAAGAATCTAATAAACTTAGAGGAATTAGACATCTCTAAAAATTCCCTGAGTTTCTTGCCTCCTGGAGTTTTTGATGGTATGCCTCCAAACCTAAAGAGACTCTTCTTGGCCCAAAATAGGCTTAAATCTTTCAACTGGGGAAGACTTCATCTTCTGAAGAATCTGGAAATTTTGGACCTCAGCCACAACCAATTGATGACTGTCCCAGAGAGATTATCCAACTGTTCCAAAAGTCTCAAGAAACTGATTCTTAAGAATAATCAAATCAGGCATCTGACAAAGTATTTTCTAAAAGATGCTTTCCAGTTGCGATATCTAGATCTCAGTTCAAATAAAATTCAGGTTATCCAGAAGACTAGCTTCCCAGAAAATGTCCTTAACAATCTGCAGATGTTGCTTTTGCACCATAATCGATTTCTGTGCACCTGTGATGCTGTGTGGTTTGTCTGGTGGGTTAATCACACGGAGGTGACTATTCCTTACCTGGCCACAGACGTGACTTGTGTGGGGCCAGGAGCACACAAAGGCCAGAGTGTGGTCTCTCTGGATCTGTATACCTGTGAGTTAGATCTCACTAACTTGATTCTGTTCTCATTTTCCATATCTACAGCTCTCTTTCTGATGGTGGTTATGACAGCAAGTCACCTGTATTTCTGGGATGTGTGGTATTTTTACCATTTCTGTAAGGCCAAGATAAGGGGATATCAGCGTCTGCTATCAACAGGTTCTTGCTATGATGCTTTTATTGTATATGACACTAAAGATCCAGCTGTGACAGAATGGGTTTTTGAGGAGTTGGTGGCCCAATTAGAAGATCCACGAGAGAAACATTTTAATTTATGTCTGGAGGAGAGAGACTGGCTACCAGGGCAGCCAGTTCTGGAAAATCTTTCCCAGAGCATACAGCTTAGCAAAAAGACAGTGTTTGTGATGACGGACAAGTACGCAAAGACTGAAAATTTCAAGATAGCATTTTACTTGTCCCATCAGAGGCTCATGGATGAAAAAGTAGACGTGATTATCTTGATATTCCTTGAGAAGCCCCTTAAAAAGTCCAAGTTTCTCCAGCTCCGGAAGAGGCTCTGTGGGAGTTCTGTCCTAGAGTGGCCAACAAATCCACAGGCTCACCCATACTTCTGGCAATGTCTGAAAAATGCTTTGACCACAGACAATCATGTGTCCTATAGTCAGATGTTCAAGGAAACGGCCTAGTTTTTTTTTTTTTTTTCTTCAAAATGTGACTATCTAACTTACTCAGGAGATGCCTGGTTGCCTGAATTTTCTCATTAATTTTTCACCCACAAGACTGCTTTGATATTCTCCAAGAATTAGAATTTCCTATGTTGGAGGAAAGTCACCAATGTATGACAAAGAAGTTGGAAAGATGGAATTTATGTAATATATCAAGTCTTCTTTCTTCTTTCTTTGTATCTCCATTTACATTTCAGCTTCTCATATCAACTCTTGTATAAAGTACTTTTGGAATACAGATGGCAAGGAGAGAACATGAGGCTCTGATTCACCTGCAATTATGATCATTAAATATATGCACAATCTTGAAATTAAGAAGAACCATACTACTACCCTTACAAAGTTGGCATATGGGCTGGGGCTGTAGCTCAGTGGTAGAGCACTTGCCTAGCATGTGTGAGGCACTGGGTTCAATCCTAAGCACCACATAAAAATAAATAAATAAAATAAAGATATTGTATCCATCTACAACTAAAACATTTTTTAAAAAGATGTTGGCATGTTCAGAAATAGGTAAAAAATACTAAATCTCTATGATACCAAACTGTACCAGAGTGAGTTTAGTGAAATAAAACCCCAGTTAACTCCTCAACAAATTGCTTCTGTGAAGACCAAATGTTGGTACCACACAGACAGTTACTGCTTTTGTATCTCTTGTTCTTGTAGCTTGGGTCTGTTGATGGGTTTCATAGGGAAAGAGAAACATCATTACTATCCATGAACATGGTCTACCTATAGGTGGAAAAATAATTAAAACAATTTACCTTTATGCAAAATGGTGTTCTTTAGCTTTGATGATAATTTATTTGTGAAGTACTTTTATCTGAACTGCAAAATACTATATCCAAAGTAAATTAGCCTCATCAAATGATCTTTCAAACTACTTTGTTAACTAATACTATATATTTAAAAGTATCTGCAAACTTGATGCACCAATATTATGTGGTCTTGATGGTAAACCCCAAAAGAGGATGAAAAGGGCATGTATTTATAGTTATCAGAGATGACAATTAGATGGTTGACAACTATACAAATTCCTTTTTATTTCTGAAGACAGGAAAAGAAGAATCAGAGGTTGATAAATCTTAACATTGAAAAAGTTTCATTTTCAAAAAGAATCAAAACATTCTTAAGACAAACTGAGTATAAATTCACATGAGTTCAAAGTTTGAAATCTGAAATCTGGCCAACTTGCTTTATTTTATAAAATAAAATTTCTACGAATTTATCTGTGCCATTTGGAAAAATAGCATGCATATATTCAAATCCTAGAGCATTAGCTTAAAGAAATTGCATTTTCCTCATATGTGAAGATGCCAAAAGCTGTACTGTAAATGAATGCATACTATGTGAATTAATATAGTATAGCATATAAATTATCATAGTATCTGAATTACTTGCACAAGACATTTAATCGATTAATAGGAGTACACATTCCCAAAGGAATTTTTGGAATGATAGAGAGGTGATTAAGTTGCTAGAGTCAACTATTTCACAGCTTCTAGTAGCTTTGCTGTGCTCAATAGATTTTCCTTATTTGTGAAGACAAAGATAATGTTGGCTTTGGGCCATTATAAATTTTCTACTATTAAAATATAAAGTCATAAAGATTAAGCTATTTTGGTGATTTATAAAATCATAAGTCACTTGAAGACAATTTAAACATCTTCTGAAATGGATTAAGAAGAAGGAAAACTAAAAAAATAAGGCAACTCAGAAACCACAGCTTCTTTTGACATGAAGTTAAGTACGGTGGTTTGATGCAGAGAAAACAACCAAGAGCACACAAATCATGTTTTTTGTTTAATTCCTTTATGACTTTGACAAGTCACACTTTTAAATGAGGGCCCTCTGTGAAGTTTTGTGAGGCTGGAGCTGTCAATGGATGGCTTTGATCAAAAGCCATCACCTCAAGGTTCCAAGAGAACATGACTCCTAGGTCCCTCCATAAAGCTCAGAATAAAGAGCTTCTCTGCTGACCCACCTCTGGTTGGTTCTACCCCAGAAGGGACTCCTAACGTTTCCATAAATCCTGCTCCACCATCAATATTTGGCCCCCAGGTCCTTTCAACTCTGTGCCTGCAAAGGTGTGTTCTTCCTGCTCGGATAAATGCTGCACCTGAGCAAGACTTAGACATTTTTAGGATTCAAGCCAAGGGATACGTTGGGCAGGGCATATATTACAGTTGAGGGAAAAGCAAAACAAGTGTCTAAAGTTTTTAGGGGAGAGAAAAGATGAATTTGATTGTAGCCCTATTTCTAAGTCAGGTTCTCTGGGCCCCAGCATCCTGTTTACTTCCAGTAATATCTGCCTGAACCCTCTTAGGTCCAGATGGTCTCTCAATTGTAGTCATGGAGTATAGAGTACATGAAGGGATGTAGTGATCTGAAAATGTGGACATCTTGTTTAATCTCCTAGGAAGCTATGGTAAAGGTAACAAGGACACACACTCTTCTTTTGAGGAGGTCTTTTCCCCTTCCATAAAACATGCCTTTTGTTTACTTCCTTTTCATCCTAATCCAGGTAAATGAGAAATCCAGGATGCACATCCTGCTAGTTATTTATGGTCCAATTATTAAATGGGGGTGGAACTGAGCTTGGAGTTTTTCCTATACCTCATCTGCACATGCTCAGTAAGAAGAAAAGATTGACTTGGGAAATCACTCCTGCTTGGAATTTTGAGGTGCCAGGTCCCGGAAGCAGTTAGTTATGGGACATGCTGCCAGTTGTATTTGATGAAAGGTTGAGTGCTTCGCCTTAAGGAACATTGGGAACTTATTTGTAGCATCTGAAACATAAATAGCCAGCTGTGTGGGAGGAAAACAACCAAACATGATTGAGGAGACTCAAAGTTTAAGGACCCCAAGCAGAAAATTAATCCATTTAATTGAGTTAATCTAATGAAGAAAACATGAAACCAACCTATTTACCAACCAACACATTGAAGGGGAATCATGTTGGAGAAAAATTCCCAAGCCCACAAAAAGATTGTAAGGAAAAAAGCCCTGGTGACATAGGGGCCATCCATGCTGGTGAGAATGGAATTATAACAGGGCATTTTTATGCAGTTCTATGTTTTCTTTCTTTCCCACCATCCTTTTTCCTCCCCTTCCCTCTCAGTTTCTTTTTGGCTATAGACACACACAGCAAGCCTCATGAAAAGCACAAGAATAAAAAGAAGGCAGCTATACTTGCAGGTGGATTCTTCTGTTTGGAATGGTGGTCACGTGTGTACTTTTGGTTTAAAACCTCTCTTTCCTCACATACACAGAATAAATCCCCACCTGCTTCAGTGAGCATGACCTTCTACAATTGGCTTGGTGAAAACTTCCTGGGTGACATTGGCTAGATTTTCTGCCACATTCAAATTCATATTTTTCTACTTTCAAGCATGGGAGGGAAGAAACTGGATATGAACTGGTGCTCTGCCTTGAGGATTGCCCTAATCTCAGATTTTAATTCTTTTCTCACATGTTTGTCATGACATTTCAGTGATTTCATTTCTTCATATGTTTATCCTTGCCCCTTCTTGATGACTTATATTAATTAAAAGTTTTAGAAGTGTGCAGAGTTAAACTGACCGTGGAGGTTTGAGTCACAGATCTAACAACAAGCACCCTCTGGAAACAGTCTGGTGGGATCTGGAGGGGAAAAAGGAAGTCCTACTGCCCTTGTGGCAGTTTTCAAATATCCCTTAGTGCCCACCACTGGGAAGGGGAAGGAAGGCAGTTTCTTCCACAGACAACAAATGGCTCTTAATGTTCTTCTGGTTGGTGATGACTCCCAAGGCTAAACCTAGACAGAAATGGCCAACTTGGATGCCACACTGCTCTTTCATGATACACATGATGGCTTAACATCACCGGTGAAGGTAGCACAGTGGAATATAGATTCCAGGGACTTTTGTAACAGTGAATTGCATGAATTGAAATCTTGAGCAAACTTTGTAGTAACATCTACATGAACCCATATTTGAGGCCCATTGTCCAGGGGGACCACACTGTTAAGATCTCTTAAGCTGTTTTGGGAGTTAGGGCTTGGCTGTTGCACGGCTGTTGTCTCTGAGATTGTGAATAAATCTCTGGGCAAGGTTCTAGTGGGGCCCAACAAACAGGACTTAGATACCTGGTGTTATGCATTAAACAAAATAGCTTTCAGCTTCTATCTCTCATTTTTAGGACTGAATTTGCCACAACGTAGTTGCCTTTGGATTGAGGCATCATAACCAAAGTTCTCAGTTAACTTATAGCCTGCCAAGGATTATCCTAACACAGTGTACTTAATCATTAGTTGATTATTTTATGAGATGATCAACTCTTCAGAACAGGTCACCTAAGAAAACTGGACACTGGAAGAACATTTTGAATGGGGAGGTGCATTTTAAAATAATCCCAATTTGGGTTCCTACTCATGAGAGCAGATCCACAAAGGAAATGACAGACAAGGAGAAACTGAGGAGGATTTTAGGAAGACAGATGCAATATGAAGTCTCTGGGACCCCAACAATGTTATTGAGTGGGGGGAAGTCATATATTATGCAGCAAATGCAAATTAAATGTTTAATTTATTCCATTAAATCTTCATATCACCTCTACGAGGCTAGTATCTTCAGTACCTTCATCTTAAACATGATGGGTTAACTCAGAGATGAAGGGGCATTAGAAAATGAGCATTAGCTGCCCAAGGTCACAGAGAAACTAAGTGATAACACTAAAGAATTGATCTAACTTTGTCCAAAATGTCCAATTGCATCTTGAATTCTACCAGGAGCTGATATCAACTAAGGAGCTTGGAAATCATGTAGATTCCAAGTCCCCACACCAGAGATTTTGATAACTAGGCTCAGGAATCTACATTTCTAAAACTAGTGCAGGTATATATGAAGCAGCTCACCTGCAAAGCAATTTTGGAAGACCAATCCCCCAACGTATGTTCAATTATTCTTTTTCCTTCTGTGTATAAACCTTGGTGCTTGTAGTCCATTGCCAGGGAGTAGAGTTTCACTTGAACTCCAATTGTTCCCCACTGGAAACCTTTGGTGGGGGACTATAATTTAGGTATGACTTGCAATTATGTTCAAGGCTAAAATGTGAAGATAACCTGGACAAAAACATTGGTGCTAGTTTAGGCAGAGAAAAGGGCAGATTCAGGGTAACTGAATCTCAGTCCCATAATTCCTGATAAATGGAGCTGCTACTTACAATTAAGGTGGGAAAGGATATTTTTATCATATTTTTTCCAAATGTCTTACTGAATGAGTAGATAC